ACAGCAACTAGAAGGATGTGCAGCTATGACATACAACTATCTACTGGGGCTTTGGGGGGAAAAAATAAAATAAATAAAATCTTTAAAAAAAAAAAAAAAAAAAGAACCAGGGCTTCTTAGAGACATGGCTAATTCCAGGACTGCGGCAGAGAAGGCACAAGATAAGCCCTACAACATCTTGTACCAAAAAGCAAGGAAGTGCTCAAAAGAACACAAAAGTCAGCTTAAAGGGATCCTACCAGTTATACCAAAGACAATCTAAGCATCAAAATAAATAATGGTAGTAACAGATTAGAACCGACTGAATAATATCAGAAACCATGGGTGCATAAATATATTAATTAATTAAAAAGCTAATGAGAAATGTGCTGTGTCAAGATCACGACAATCAAAGAAAAACTGAGGAACTATTCCAGACTAAAAGAGACTAAAGAGAATGACAATTATGTGCAACAAATAATTCTGAACTATGATCCTTCTGCTATGAAAGACACTAGTGGGAATGGATTCTAGAATTAGATGGTAGTAACGTATCAGTGTTAACATCCTCATCTTGTTGGCTGTATTGTGATTATGTAGAAGCATATGTTTGTGGAATGATGGGGCATCAGACTAGCATCTTATTTTCTAATGGTTCAGGCAGGAAAAATCAATTTTTTGTACTATACTTGTGTTCTTGTAAATCTGTGATTTGTTTCATGATAAAAAATTTTACAACTCAAGTGGAAGAAATAGCACAAGCAAAGATACAGAGGTGGAAAAACAGACTGAGAAGGAAAAAAAGGATGTACAAACAGGGATAACAAAAAATAAAACTTGTAAACATTATCTGAGGCCAAATCATACAGAAGGCATACATGATGTTGGTAGTTTTTCTAAGAACATAACTAGTTATAAATTTACTTCTAAAGGACTCCTGTTTTTATTCGTTTTTCTGTTCAATAGCAACACAAAATTATCTTATTCATCCAACAGAGTAAAAGGAAAAGCAGCTAATTCACTCATATTATTTTCCCCTTTCTATTTTGATAATACAGGAAGGGGTACTCAAGAGTTATGGGAGTCCCTCGGTTCTGGTCTGGCAACCAAACCATATACCTCATTTATTAATGTGAGTGAGTCTCACAATACATACATACATCACAGCCACACACACTTTACAAAGTTAGTCATCATCAAATGAATACAAATCTAGATCTTTCAAAATGTTTTCTTTCCTCAGGAATTCTTGGACTAAATGTAACTAAAATGGCATTAAAAAGTACTATCAGTACTTTTCACTAGCTAGTGAACCCTCTTAGTGGTCTTTAATTTTAGGTATCAAGTTTAGAGCTTAAGGGCCGGCCTGGTGGCACAAGCAGTTAAGTGCATGTGCTCCACTTCGGTGGCCCGGGGTTCGCAGGTTGGGATCCCGGGCGCGCACCACCGCACCGCTTGGTAAGCCATGCTGTGGCGGCGTCCCATATAAAGTAGAGGAAGATGGGCATGGATGTTAGCTGAGGGCCACTCTTCCTCAAGAAAAAAGGGGAAGATTGGCATTGGATGTTAGCTCAGGGCTGGTCCTCCTCACAAAAAAAAAAAAAGTTTAGAGCTTAGGTGCTTTGTCTTCTTTCCTGGGAAATGTAGACAAGGAAGTTGTAGCAGAACCAACTCATACTAAGATATCTCCCCCACACAGGCAGGTTCATCAGGGTACTAAAAATAAGAGTGACAGAGACAAAGGCAAGTCAGTCCTAGAAGAGGAGTGAGATAAAAGAGGGAGGGGAAGAAAAAAAATATACAAGTGAAGTACAGACGACTTTTTTTCCCTTTCAAACTAGCTAAGACTAAGAAATTAGGTTTCCTCTTTAACATTTGGTACCTCAGGCAAGTACAAATGGGTTTAGACAAGCTGCTACCAGAATCACCCAATTGCTATTACTAAGTAAGCAAAAAAAACTGCAATTAAAGAGAAATGACACAGAGAAAATATTCATTTTTAAAGTCTTCATTAAAGGTAGGAGAGCATGTGGAAAAGATATATTACATAAAAAGGAAACAATATCAATATAATTACTATTCTTTAGCACAAGAGATTTACCTTAGGGGCCATTTAAAACAAATAAAGGGATAAATATTAGCATCTTTGGGAACCCTACATGTATTAATACTCAATAATCCCAATATTGCTGAGCTTCCATACTTGAAAGCTTGTAGCTGCAACCTCACTACGTCTTCTTATCCACTTCCCGTAATGTGCATTTATAGATTCTTGACTCCTAATTGCTAGATCTAATACGAGTCCCTGTTTAAGCATAAGAATAAAAGTCAAATCCCAGAAGTCTAAAGAATGAAATTAAGAATATAGATCATCTATTAATGATATGTGCAATAAAAGAAAGTTATATTAAACCAGTTTAGAGGGGCCTTGAATATATAAAATAAAAACCAATAAACTGGTCTGAAACAATGTGGTGTGAAAAACCAAGTATGAAATGCATCTCTGATATTTTACTGATTAACTGTAACAATGACAGCTAGGTGATGTCCATGGACCATTATTCTCACTGTCTTACTGTTTACATAACTTATTTATTGTATGAATTCCCAGCATAAACATTTTAGTACAACCGCCATATGAGGTTTACGAATCATAAACAAACTTTAGGTATCACTATTACAATGCCTTGAACTGTGTCTGTGCTCAACATTTAGTTTAGGTGAAGAAGAAAAGAACTCACAACTATCAAAGTAGAGAAAAGTAATGAAAAAGCCCTACATTTTATAAAAGCATATATAAAGAAAATCTAAATCCAAATTGGGAGTGCAGGAGTAAAAGATGCAACTGAAGAACTTACCTTCAGCTCCCAGTGATTGAATTTCCAACCTGGCGAGTAGTTATCTCGCAAATCAACTTTAACTCGAATATTAACACTGAGTAACCGCCTTCGATAATCATTGCATTTTGCAATCAGGGCATCTCTGTCTTCTTCAGAAAGTGCATTTGTAATGCCACAAGGAATAACCACCACCTAGAACCCAGCACAATATCACACATTTATACAAAGAAATAGCATACAGAAGTAATGAAGTCATATCAGTACTAATATCCAGGAGTCAAAACATACTAGTGACTATAAATCTAAACACAAACCAACCTGTGTGATTTTTAATCTATAAAGAATGTCTACCAGTTAGCTGCATATTGCTTGTTCATGCTCAGTGCATTTTCATTTGACCTACTACATTTCATTTAACCTATTACAAATCATTTCAAAAAATTATTTCTAAAAAAGTTTTATATAAAGTAGCTAAAAAAGTTAAAAGAATAAAAAACAATAATGCAAATGATAGACATAGTTACACAATACTAAGGTCTAGACTGCTTCTATATTTTTTTATCAGTGAAATCTACCTGAATGATACTCAGAAAATCACCCTTTCAAATTTTCTTTAGTAAATATGGCTTGTATTTTATAAAAAGAATGATAAACAGGAATGTTTTCCTTACCTGAACACAGGCTACACGGGGTGGTAATACTAGGCCCATGTTGTCCCCGTGAACCATTGTCATAACACCAATAGTTCGAGTTGTCAGGCCCCAGGAGTTTTGATAGGCAAACTGCTTCTCTCCTGGTGTCTTTGGATCTTCAAAAACGATTTCAAACATTTTGGAAAAGTTCTGCCCTAAATGATGTGATGTTCCTCCCTAAAATAAAGAGAGAAATATAACCTTTAACAACCTGTTATGCCTTTGAAAATGATTACTATAAGATCATACACCTTAAAATGGCACTAGACCTGTTTTATCTTCCCTGATTTTTTATATTAAATAAGTTTTTAAAGCATAACTGATACAACAAAGAGACTAGGATTAGTCAAAAAGTACTAGGGGCCGGCCCCGTGGCTTAGCAGTTAAGTGTGTGCGCTCCGCTGCTGGCGGCCAGGGTTCAGATCCCGGGTGCGCACCGACGCACCGCTTCTCCGGCCATGCTGAGGCTGCGTCCCACATACAGCAACTAGAAGGATGTGCAGCTATGACATACAACTATCTACTGGGGCTTTGGGGGAAAAAAATAAATACATAAAATTATTAAAAAAAAAAAAAAAAGTACTAGATGTGTACTGCTGTGAGCAGCCCCTTTAATAGGAGTAACTTTAACTACAAAGGTTAAAAAGGAATCCATGCTTTGGTAATTCAGGATACAAGCCTTGACTCAACTGATCTCGGAGATTTAGAAGAAGGCAACAGATTCGCTTGAAATTATAATATGGTCTAGAAAGCACATGAAATACTGATTTTTTAAAAGAGTCTACTTCTCTGACGACAGAAATGTGTTGGATCTGCCGCAGGCTGCGCTTACAGTCGCCCATGTGCCCACACAGCAGCTACCTGGATAGCTCTTCCACTAGCAGATATAAACGCTTCTATGGTCGTCGTATAGTCTCCTCCGGCAAATTTCTCCTTTTCAGTCTTTCTTCCTTTCACAACAGGAATTGCCAGCAGTTCTTCATATATCTGAGCATATAAGTCAAGTATCTGCAAGACCTGTAACAACATATTAAATGTAAAAACATTCAAGTTTAGGGCATATTTATTATAGATCTATAAAACTATATTACTTAAGACTAATTGTGGTGGAAAAAGCACTTTAAACAGTAAAAACCTCTTTTTATGGAAAGGTTAATGCAGCCAGTGTGTATTTATTAAGGAAGACATTCAACAAGGCAGTGTGAAAAGAAATGGAATAACTTTTTAAAATGTACATAAATTTACAATATAAGAGAAAATAAATGTTTATGAAAGATACACAGTAACCAGGGTGAAAATCTGAAGAATAATTAATTTCACCCATGGGATTATAATTTCTCCTACAGATTAAAGTCCAAAAATATTCTCATCTGAAAATTTAAAACAGCACATTTTCTAATAAAATTTCAATAAGCAGTTTCTTAAGTCCATGTACATTTGAATTAACTTGTTTTTTTCTTTCAACAGGTGATACATAAATTTTAAGTAACAACATAATTTATACCAGCAAGTTATCTTTTAATGTTATTTTGAGATCAGACCAAATTTCAACTTATAGTCATTACTGAATGATTACTATGTAAAATAGATAGCACTGCATTACTTACAGTTGAAAAAAGAAAAAAAAAAAGTGCAACCTGGACAAAGAAATAGAACATAATTAACATGGAAGACAACTTTTTATACCTCTTCTGCTGCTTCTTCAAACGTAGCAAATGCACTGTGCCCTTCCTGCCAAAGGAATTCACGGGTACGCAGGAAAGGCTGAGGATGCTTGAACTCCCAACGCTGCAAGAGGCAAGAAGACAATCTGGTCATTATAGAGAGCATTTCAATTTTTATTAACAATGTTATGTGGTTAAGTAATCAGAAACCATAACTGTGACCCAAAACACTTCAAAAATGCTTCCATCATCCTCCCAATCCTTTGAATATAAAAGTAATGAGAAACAAAAAGTGCTTTTTAAACAAAAGAAGAAGAACAAGAATGAAAGAATATAAGAAGGGGTGTGTACCTACCACCACATTGCACCACTGATTGAGCCTGATGGGCAGGTCTCTGTGTGATTGTACCCACTTCGCATATGCAGGATACATTACTGAAAAGACACAGGAAAATACAGGCAGTTAGTCATTGAAGGTTTTATTTCTCCTTGAAGACTGGTAAGAGTTAAACTGGTAATATAATTAATAGGAATTAAAATGTTGTGTTTGTACAAATATGCTTCCAATGTTTGTAACGGTAAGTGAATGGTATTCATAAAGCAAATTAGTCAAGGAAATAAATCTATCTAAACTTGACCATATTCTATGTTCTTCACAATGAGATTTACATTTAACATTTAACTTGACTGCTTTTCAGCTATTTTGTTTTTAAAAACACTAAGTGAAGATCTTATAGTATATACGATGTTCTATATTAAGTTCTTTGCATTCATTATCCTGTTCAATTTTTACATGCAACCCACAAAGTAGGCATCATAATCTCAACATTAAAGATGTGGAAGCTCAGCTTAGAGAATTTAATAACTTAATGAATCCAGCACAGTTACCTATTAGAACCAGAATTTAGGTTAAATCTATCTGATGCACCTACCAAGCACAATGCCATGAACTCTAATTTACATGAAGGTGCCTGTCTTATCATAGCCTACTCATGATTATCTATAATTAGCAAACCAATCTGGTATGTGAAACAAAGCTGGTGTCATAATTTCAACAATCCATCATCTAAGTATTATACAAGAGGATCACTAGCAGTATCACATAAAAAGCAAACGATCCTTAATTCTGAAGATGGATAATCACTTTGGAAAACACTGACAAGCCCAAAGGCTCAAAACTTCCAAGTAGCACTCCCATTTACTATGTGTAAATTTAGGAAAATCACTTAACCTTTCAGAGACCTTTTTTCCCTGCAAAATGGAGGTAACAACAGCTGCCTACCTTCCTCACTACACTGTTGTTGAAAATAATATAAAATGTTGTAAATGAAATCACTTCGTAACCTACAAAATGCCTACATGAATGTAAATGTAATATTAAAATGACTAACAAAATTTATAAGTAAATTTGGCATAAAACATTAGTGTTTGCAACTTTATAATCGATTTCAAGAATAAAAATTATTCCAAGAATAAAATTGCTTGGAAAGTCCTGAAAAATTATAGTATGAAATAAAAAATGATGCAAGTGTTTAAAAAAAAAAACCATCTTTATCCTAATGACAAAGAGCTCTGCCATGAATAGTGTGCAGAGAATAAAATTCTATACAACTTAAATTTGCATTCATCTTTATCAACATTCATTAAACTTCATATCGTCAATAAGGATTATAAATATCACAAAATAAAAGTTGAGACTCAACTCTAGAAGCTGTTTCTAATGTTTCAATGAGCTCTCTCCTGCGCTCGAAGGCCCATCCTCACCTGTTTCACTAGTAGGACGAATAGCAATTGGTTCCGCCAACTCTGTTTTACCAGATCTTGTAACCCAAGCAACCTAGTAAAATAAAATCATTTTTCATACATTTTTTAACAGCATTTTTGAGAATCAACACAAATACAAGCAAATCTCTATTTCAATTTTGCTATATCAATTAAGGCAAGTTAAAACAGTTGCTGCTGTTCACTGCAAGAAAAGGTGGAAACCTACTGTCCTTATAAATATTTAGCAAAAAGTAAAACCCAGGTAATTAACGTAACAAACAGAATTATAACATGCTCTGAAAGTAGAAATATAATTTTTTTTTAAAAAATGGCTTTACATTTCTTTAAATTGGTTATTATAACTTGTGTTTTAAATTATCCTTCAAGTGTGAACTGAAAATACACTTTTGAGTTTATAAGATAAAATTGCAAAAATAAATAAAGCAAGCTAACTTACCTCAGGGGCAAAGTCAGCAATGTGAGTCTTCTCTTTCTCTAATGCACCTTGAGACACAAACATGGGGAAATAGCAGTTTTCAATGCCAAGTTTCTTGATCTCAGCATCAAAAAAGTCCTTGATGGATTCCCAAATGGCATATGCCCACGGCCGAAGAACATAGCAGCCACTTACATCATAGTATTCAATCATTTCTGACTTCGTGATGACCTTTTTAAAAGAAAAGTATAGTCTTTAAAACCTAAATTAAACCAAAATTATAGTACAAGTGCCAAGAGTATGAGAACCCAGCTTCAAATCTGGAGGCTTCCACTGTTGGTATATCCTCTTAATGTGCATATAAAACGGACCTCTCTATTCTGAGAAACACTGGGGCTCTAAACTCTGAAGACAACTTGAATTCCAATCGTGCTTCTGCCATTTACTATCTTCGTGACTTTAATCCCTTTACCTCACCATAAAAAGAAATCAAATAATGACTATCTCAAAGGGCTACTTCTCCATTCAATACTTTATGTTAACATGCTTTGAAAACTGTGACATGTTACCTGACTATACTATGTATTATTATTAAAGGCATGGCACATTATTACTTTATGTCTAGACTTTAGAATCTAAGTATAAAGTAGCCTTTAAGAAATTTAACACATAAAAATCAACTGAATTCATACTCACTTGAGAATACCAATCCGCAAGGTTTTCTTCTTTTTTTGCCTCAAGACCCAACCTGCAGGTATGAAAAATAAAATATAAATCCCTTCAATCAGCAATTGTTTTTAGGTTGAATGGAAATAAACCTCTAAAGTTCAAAATAGACTAGTTTTTCTCCAATACGAGTTATTTCTATATCTCTTGTATATTCATTCCCAAGATAATGTTTTTAACCTAGAAAAAGTTCAGTCATCTCTTAAAAGATGGTGAGAGAATGTCCACAAAAAAACTAGGAAAGCCAACCCTAACAAAAGCTATGATTTTAATGCAGGCATCTCTTTTACAAAGTTCCTTACAAGGTCATGTGTTTGTAATACAGAGCCTATTCACATACTATTTTCTCACTAAAAAAGAAGTATCTTTTGCTGACCTCAACCCAGGCAAAATTAAAGGTAGTAAGATCAGTGTTTCACTAAAAGTAACATGTAAAAAGTAATAACAATGACTATACATGTATACATGTGTGTATATATAGGTATATATATCCTTACATATTCTACAAGTTCTTCTCACTGCAATAAATAAAAGTTGCAGAGGTAAATTCTTCCAAAATAATTTAGATCTGTAATAAAAAACTATTCCAGGCAATAATCCTTTTCTTGAAACACCAACAACTATCCAAGGAACTGTGATCTTATGATCCACATAGGAAAATCTACCCATTAGCTATGTTTTATAAAAGGTATATCTTTTTTGAGTTCAAAAACAAGGCTTTGTTAGCTTAAAACCTTAATGAACTTGCATTTGCATTCTCCGTTGTTTCACTTTGACACATCTCAACAAAAGGCCTAGATGAAACCTGGCCCTCTCACACGCAGTCAGAAGGTCAAAGGTGAGAAGTTCTATTCTCTCCTCCACTATTCTATAAGGCTCATCACCCAGTCAATAGACAAGAAAAAAAAAAACTGTTGTATTTTCTTGTTTAAGGAGACATTATGGGGGCCGGGCCTATGGCGTAGTGGCTAAGTTCACAAGCTCTGTTTTGGTGGCCCAGGGTACAGTGGTTAGGATCCTGGGCACAGACCTATGCACCGCTCATCAACCCATGCTGTGGCGGCATCCCATACACAAAATAGAGGAAGACTGGCACAGACGTTAGCTCAGGGCCAATCTTCCTCAAACAAAAAGAGGAAGATTGGCAACAGATTTAGCTCAGGGCCAATCTTCCTCACACACACACACAAAAAAAAGACATCCTGCGTATGAGGTAAGTGATGATAGGTAGAATTTGAAATTCAGCTAAACAAATCTAAAACCAAAGTATCTCAAAATAGTAGTTGCTAATAAGTTTTTCTTCTTACTAAGCCATTAAAGGAACCTAGCACAAAGTTCACTCTAATTTTGGGATGGGGATTATCGACAACAAATGACATTATTCATACAGATTAGAAGATCTTGAAACACCATCTATTCCACTGTTTTGTCTTTAGACCAGCTTTGTTTTACATTTAAACTACCAATTTTAAAATCTTATTGAGAATGAAGTTCTCATTTAGTCCCCACAAAAAATTTTCATTAGAAAAATCTGTTTAAGGTGCAAAACAATGTATATAGTTAGGCTACCAATTATGTTAAAAAGGAGGAAAAAAAGGAACATTTATACATATTTATATTTACTTGTGTAATCAAATGAAAATCTCTCAACGGATACAGAAGGAACTACTAACAGTGGCTACCAATTCATTATGGCAGCAGAGGGAACTGGGAAGATGGAAAACAAGCGTAGGAGGGAGACTTCACTGAACTTTCTATATTCTGAGATTCTTGAACCAAGCACATGAATGTTACCAATTTTAATTAATTAAAAGCTATCTGCTGAGTGACGTCAGCATCATGGCGGAGTGAGCTTTCCCGTGAATTCTTCCCCCACAAGATACAACAAAAGCAACAGCCACAGACCAACAACGGAATCCCAGACAGTGAAAAGCTAGAGCGGAGGGATCCACACTGCCGCACATCTGAGAGCGGAATGTGCTGGGCCCCCGGAGGAAGTGGGGAGAGGTAAGGAGAACTCCGCTCCCTCCCCATCAGATCAGCGATCCCGGTCCCGCGGCTCCCAGAGAGGGGGGAGGGGCGGCCCTCGGCGGGAAAACTGTAGCTCTTCTGGCTCTCTCAGCCAGTGGGAAACTCCCGCACAGAGGACTCAGAGGAGCCACAGGGCTACCATCAACATCTGAGC